ATTAACTTAAAGCGTTTACATGGCACTCAGCTTAGGGCTTTGTCTGTAGAGAAAAAAGACTGGCGAAGGAGTATCTTTCATACGTCTTTTAAGGATGAAAATTGTAAGCAAATGACAGAAGGGAATAACTTATTGGAGCTGAATCGACTTTGAGGCTGGGTGCTGCGCTTGCGTCCTTTGGCATAACTCTAAATGTCCTCACAAAATCACTTTAACAGAGACATCTATTTTGAGGCTGAAATTGCTGCAAGGATTCAAAGTTGATGAGAGTCGGACATGAGCAAGAGTACAAAGATTAACCTTTTGAATTTTAATTATCTCCATATGAAGTTGAGATATACCAGATATTACGCATCTGAACTGCTGATGTGGTATTCAGAAGTCGCTACTTGATGCAACTTTAGCTTCCTCTGCTTTGCAACTGGAACATTATAGTGGTCTTAATACGCTGCGACTAATGTGATCGTTTGGAAGGAGGAGTCAGCTTACCGATAAGTAGCAAAATGAAAGTTGAACGGCTAAATCGAATTGAAATGCACTTCAAAACCAAAGCTAAATCCGATAAATCAACCTCTTACACCTGAAATGTTATTTCCCAATCTTCGGTCTGAATTACCACTTTTCTCAAAGAACTTAAGTAAAATGCTTTATGCTCTGTAAAACCAGATTATGCAGAATACGTGGGTTGATTGAAATTGAAATTTACCACTAGAGATGGAGCCTGAAAGATGCTGGTAGCCGGAACACACCCCCTAACAGATACGCATTAATTACTGCGGTGCAAACCAAAACACAGACCATTGACTTGTGCCACCGGAACCACGTGGTGATCACATGCCTCAGAGGCTAAGTCGCAACTTTACACTGGTGGGGAGTAAACAAAGCAGCGGAGCAAGGAAGGAGGAAACGTAGTTGAGGGCGCTGGCGCGAAGGTTCACATGCACTGGTGGTTTGCTTTTAAGCAAGGTTGAGTGCAACCTCTTTAATGTAACATGTGAGAGCGTTGGCGAACTAGAATTGGGCGGTGCCAAGCCCTGACAAGGGGCATCAGGAGTCTAGTAAGTACTCTTTACATCAAAGACCGGTATAACTCTTATAAATTCTTAAGCTCCATCGTTAATAACATGGAGTGAAACGCATTCCTGCATTCAGTTACACTGTTTGAGTTCTACTTTCAAACAGTGAAATAAACACTAATATCTGGCCTTCATTTGAAAATTTAGGTCCGCCTGCCTTCTACATTTCACTTAATGACTTCCGTGTACTACGAAATATGTGTTGTAAAATGGCGCAAATATTCTCGATATACCAAGGTCGACATTTTTGAAGAGCGGTGAGGTGTCAAGGCAGGTTACATAAGGGACTGAATGATAAGAAAGGGTAAAGCTGGCAAATGCCACATTGGAAAGCAACTAACACATCAGCGATGACTGATGTGTCCTTGAGAACCATACAAGAAAAATGAAATCTGAGATAAGAGAAGTTAAGTTCATTTACTAACATTTGCTCTGAGTTAATGGCGAATTTCTCCAAATTTCGACCTTGCACCGCTGCAATTTGGCTTTACGGCCGAGAGAGTCAAATTTCAGGCTTTTAAACGAGAGGCAAAATATCACGTTATTGTATTTTAAGAATTGTACGGAGTCCAAAGAAAAACTAAACAGT